TTAACTCATCTCATCGAGTATTATAGTCTTGTTTCTTCTTCCGTACCAGTAATAGAAGAAAAAAATAAAAGAAAAATAAAGAGAATTGTACATTTGTTATTTTGCTCTATTATATTTTATTGTTAAAAAAGCACCGAAGAAGAAAGCTGACAAATTTGAAACGTCTGTAAATTAATGTAAATTATTGTGGAAGAGTAAATGAAACTGAAATAATTATTATTCATTCAACTGTCCTTTGACTTACTTGTTTACTCAATTATCATGAAAGGATTCTATTGAAAAAGCTTTTCGTTGTTGCTGCATTCACTCTAGAAATCTAAACAGTCCAATGCTTTATTTTTCAATAGAAATGTGCATGCCATTCAATTTTAGAAATTAGAAAACTAATACAGTACAATGATGTCAATGTGATAAAAACCAAACAATCATATTAATCGTTTCTGGAAGTTTAGGTCAGCATTTTATGCTAAAGGATCACAAATCAGCAGTTATATCTACGATATATGTTTATCGTTTTGATAACGAAACAGATTTATTATGGGCTCCAGGATTCGAGAAGGTCAGACAGTCCTCTAAGTGTTTATGTCTGGATTTCTCAAGTATTATTACTTTAGATACGAGGTGTTGCTTCAAATATCAAGGAAGTATTGCCAAAGTCATCGCAACATGAACGAATGCTAAACAAATTATCTTGTACCATTTCGACAGATGAACAATCGTCAACAAAACTCAATGTTGAATTGATATATTCCAAATTAATTGCCGATACTTTGATTGCAACATTTATATCTCATCGGACAGCAAGTCTGACAATAATTTTCTTTGTGCATTTAACATAAAAACAGAAATTCCAATTTTTGTTTATGTTTGTTTCAATCAAGAATATTGTTGTCATGAAAAAATCACTGAGACGATGACTAATAATCTGTGATTCATTAGTGAATACTTTGTTTTTGATCTAAAATTGACAGGTTCATCAAATGAGAATAAAAAGTAACGGTTTGTCGGACAAGATAAATATAAAGGGTGTTTCATAAGTAACGGCCCCATTTTTAAAAGTCTTGCTTCATACAAATGGGGCCGTTATTTATAAAACATCCTTTATATTCTGATAGAGCTCAAAATTCTCTACCACCCTGTATAGTTATCTTTTATCCTACTTGTGTTTGTTGTAAACAAAAGTTGAATACATTAGATATACCCTCATATGACAGGAAATCAAATTGACTACTTTTAGAAACTTTCAAATTATTATTATTATTATCGAAATACATATTTACAAAAGTAAATAGATATTCTGATAGAGCTTGAAATTCTCTATCATCCTACACATTTCTGTCTTGTCTTGCATTTACTTACTAAAGGATAACTCGAATATTACAGAGGCACCCTCCTTGATATCATCTACATCAATAGGAATTCTACAATCTCCGCTTTTTGATAATGAGATCGTATCACAATTCGTTGTCTATCTTTCATTAGGGTTTCAATAAGCACTAGAAGAAGTGCTAGCGACACATCAACTGTCATGTATTTACGGATATTATGAACATCATTCGACATCAAGCGTCGATTCTATTTTGAGATCTTGTAGATTGAAACATCGAATATGATACGTTTAGTGTATCACAAAATGAGCGAGCATCTGCTGATTGAGGAGCAAAAAAAATAGAACAGAAATGCTTCAATAAAGAATTTTGCCAGCTACTTCATGAGATGAAAACACATGCCACGGTTTATTTTTCATTTCTTTCCTTTTCTGCTTATTTGTTCCATCAACACCTACAACACACACATAGTATCCTTAACAACACAGAAGTTCTTTTGTGCCACATGTGGCAAAGCAGCAGGTCTTTTCACACGTCGTGGATGCGCAAAAGGTTGAGTGTGAGTGTGTATGTCAATGCCGATTTTGAAGAGATGAACACTCACACCGTCTTTTGTTTGTAGTTAAATGTAAAATACTTAGAAACTCATTCGATATTTGCTGTTTTTTTTCAAAATTTTCTTTCGATATACATCAATTATCCGCTTAACAGTGAAAAAAAAGTTTTTTCGCATACTGGTTAATAAACAAAACAAACGTTTTTTATTCTTATTTACCTAAACTTGAACTTAAAGATTATTTGAAATAATTTTTTTTTGTTATTTTGTGAAACTCACATATATTTTCGAAGAAAATAGTGAGCGTAAGTTTTAAGTTCGAGTTTTTGCGGCTCTCCACCCCTTACACACAGGCCCCCATTACAGACCATAGCAACGGACCCCCCCCCATTACAGACACTCCTCCATTACAGACCATAGCAACTTCAGAAAAAAAGTAAAAATTTTATTCGAAGCATAGAAATAAAAATGGCAGCATGTGCTGACAATCGATTATCATTAGAAAAGAACCATCGTGTTTTAAAGAATTTAAACACTGTATTTTGTCATTAGTATAATAAATTCTTTTAATGCAATAGTAGAAAAAAAATCAGTGTAAAAAATGAGAAGAAATTTTGACTATCTGGCATAAGCCAGAGTATTGTGGAAAAGTTGAAATTAATAACATTCGTATACTAGTATTCCTGTAAGTTCAGTTTTGGATTTTTATCCACATAAAAATGTATTTAAGACGTCAACGATCATAAGAAATCATCGATTGATCAAGTTATTAATTTGAAAAAACTCACTCAGTGCTAGTGTTGTGACTTGATCGAGATACATAATAGTTCATTGATACTTGCTGTAGGTTAAATGTATATGTGTAAGAGGCATATTTGTCGGTTGAATAAATGATTGCAATGATAATAGAATTCAATTTAAAAAAATAATGCAAAAAAAATACGAAAAAAAAATAATGAGTGAATAGTAACAATGAAAACGAAAAATAGAGCGCCCGTCAGAAAATAAAAAATAAAAAATTCTTCATTTTACACCTTCTGTATTTCGTATAAATATAACGAAGCTGAAGAACATATGTGAGTTCCACATTTCAGCCCCAAAGGGGCTGCGCTAACAAGCTTCTTTTTTCTTTTGTTCGTAAAATAGAACAACGTAATAAAAAAGAATAATAATTATAAATTTCTTTCTCCTTTTTACAAAATTATGAATCATGAAGTATTACATTTGTTAAACTATGGTGATATGGGTCTCGTCATTTTTATTATTAACAACAAGTGAATTATTAATAAACAATGAATATTGTTCATTTCAGGATAATAATGTTGTCTGATCATATTTCATGTACAAGTAATAATTTTATATAAAATTCATTTAATTTTTCTAAACTTTTCATTGTATTTGGATTATAATGATGGCACGCACAATGCAGGCTTCTCTAAGTAAAGTCCCTCTGCAATCGATCCCATTTCACAATTATTGATGACTAACCCGAATAAACTTGGTTGTAATATTTATTCATTTTTGTTGAACAAATTGGTTTTTGACTCTCAGTCGATTCTAAATGCAATTTTCTCCATATTCGAATCAATTCGTATCGAGAATGATGGAAAAATTAAACTTGCTCATTCTTTCGCTTCCGTTGTTCTGTAAACCATACGAAAAAACATTGTGTCGTATGAAGAGGAAAAATGCGCAAAGGTAAATACCCACATTGTTGAAGCACGTGAAAATATATCCAAGTGTGACGCACCCTTTGGAATCGGATGTATACCAGTGTTTGGACTTCAATGAAACTAGAAGAAGCCTACACATGTTCGCTTTCATGCATTGTTTTTCTCACGTTCTGATCATTTTACAGGATTTATGACCTCCGCACGGCATGTATGAAGCATCAAATTTCTGAACTCAACCTACAATGTGGGTGTGGATATGGATGTCTCTCATCTCTTTACTCTCACCTACACCCACCCACATATCTACACCATATTATACATGATTATATGATACTGCTCCTTTTCTATGATATTTCTTTGTTCAAAGTTTCATTGTCTATCAACAGTTTAGCTTGAAAAGACAAGGTACAAAAACTGAATGATTTAATTTTATCTTCATCTAATGAGCCTTTTCTCTGGTGTCACAGTACAGTCCAACATGTATATCATTCAAGTAAAAGGTTGCTGATACAGCTACGATGTATAAATATTGAATTCCGCACAAAATTCTATCATTTCAATCGCGAAATCAAGACAAGATGTGTGCCACAAAGCAAAACATAATCGAATTCAAGTTCAATAATGAAAATTAGGACGAATCGAATAGAGATGTCTTTATTTAGTTTGTTCTCTGAATCGTAACCCTATCGAATAAAAATAAAAAGCAACGATAAACAAAGTAGAAGTTGAAATATATTCAATCACACTTTGGTCGGTAAGACTGAAATACAGATTACGTATGATCTTATAAAAACAGGAAGCTAAGCCTATTTTAACATTCATTGAACGGGAGATAACCGGGATAAAACAAAAAACAAAATCGAACGAATATTGTTTGCTGATCACCTCCACCGGACTTGAATCATGACAGAGTATGGGTATGAGCGTGGGTGTGTGTGAACAGAAAAGAACACATACACCCACACTCCGAACCCACCCTAACCAAAACAGTAGCGATCTCAAAGATTTGGGTTATAATTTGTTGGAGACTATTACTAGCAATATACAATTGGATAAAGTTAAAAACTATGATTCATCAATTTATGACATAGGAAAAGGAATTCGTCGTTTACCAATAAATGATCTGGTTCACGAAATAAAAATTCGGTCATACAGATTTTTTTTCATTTTAACAACAAATGGTACGCACATTAAAAAAGAGTTTTTCGTAAATAGTATAGCTTTTTGCATCGCGTATTGTGATATATCTTGTATTTTCTTTAATACAACATATTAAGTGATTGAAAATTGAGATGCAAAACGTGGCCATTTAATCTTCTCTATCTGCTATTTTTTACTTCGACTTGGTAATATAATGAATTGCTTATCAATGATACTAGATCTCATATTTCTTGCATTCGATTATAGAGAGAAATCGATTACACGAAGAACGAAAATAAACAAATGAATTTCCTTACGGTTGTTGTCTATCTTTTACATGGACTGCTTCTGTGTCAATGTCTAACAATTGATGAAGATGCTGTTGCACTAGGCAAACTCAACCACTTGTTAAAACTTAGTTCTCCATCGGTGGCTCGCCAAATTATGAAAGGAATATGCGAAATGGTAGCTGAATGTTGTCCACAAGGTGAATCTTTAATTATTAAATTTTTTGAAGATCCTTATACGTTTCCGGAGTTTTGCTTTGGCAAGCGTAATTTAGCAGCAACATGGGTTCGTCTACGCGCTTGTTCCCCTGTTGAACGGATCGTGAAAGCGGTGACAACTTCTCAATTTGCTAAGTTCGTAACAATCGTTTCTCAACGATTTAAAAACACAGACCCCTCAACTCTGCTGGATTATGAGATGGTCATTTCAATGAATGATACGCTGCAAATTTGTACACACGAAGAAATTCACAGTAGTGTATGTGTATGGGATCATGAGAATGCTGAAGAAGCCAAGATAAAAGCTCATGCATGTACGAAAAAGGTATTACTGAAGATTTTGGATAAATATGGGAAGGAAAAATATGAAGCGATGCTGTCAAAGACTAAACTATTTGCAAATTATACTATCCATGATCTGGCTGACGCTTTTCCTAACCCAGATGTTTGATTATTTGAGGGAAAAAAACTCTGATGTGTGATCCTAACAGAAATTATGTATCACTATTTGAATATCGATATAACAAAGAAATGAAATAAATGATAGATGCTTATGCACAGATCATTGCTTATTGACTAATGATTCTTTCGTTTATTGGAATTAGAGTCTAAACTTATAAAGAGTAATGAAATCAAATGAAAGCCTATTTTGTATTCATCGTTATCAAAAGATATTTCGAGTGCGATTAGATTATAATTCAAAGTGAATTAACTCGATTACAAACGAAAAGTGTTTTTACATATACGAGATTGGCCCGCTTTGTGAAAGTCCTTTTCAATCATGCTGCATTCGTTTGTCAATCAAAACTGTCGCCATCAGAGAAGTTCGACGAAGATAGAGAACCGAGGAAAACTTTCAAGAATTTTTCAGGTTTAAGTCTTTTGTTTCGAATCATTCGATAAAACGAAGGATGTAGATGACTAGTGAGGCGCGGTGAATGTAGGGTTAGGTGTGCAAGTGACCTTAGATCCCGGTATGGGTATCAATATCGGTTTTTAGTTATCTTCTAATTAGGATCACCGTTCATTCTTTAGTGGTATTGCCAATCATTAGCTTTGATATACCTCTGTCAAATGGCATTCACACTGCAGCAACAATAAGAAATTAAATTTGTATCGCACCATTGGGTGAGCCAAAGTAGCAGATTGAGCTCGTTAACTAAATGAAGAAAAATCTCTAAATGAATGAATCGTGTTGGATACAATAAAGAGCCATTTTCACGTGACTACTCAACTGTCTAAAATGATATTCATCACTTTTTTAATGATTATTTCTGTGTTGTTCATAACGACCGTGCTTATTTGTCACCAATAATTTGTACATTTTTGAAATATGCTTATACAGAAAACAAGAGAAGCGTCACTGTACAGGGTGCACAAAAATGTTTTTCTAGGGAGTGACGTTGTGATTTGAAACAGCATCAATAATAAATTGTATAGCAAATGAAAGCGCATCAAAAACGGGATTTAGCAGTGTTACGGGCATTGCCCTCACATTATATTTTTTCTTTTTCTTTCTTCTCTTTGTGTTCCTAGATGTGATATATTCGATCATATATCATCATCTCTTTCCTTTCGTTAAAACCCTCGATGCGTATGATCATATATATATGCACGTTTTTTCTTTTCTTTTTGGTTCGTTATGTAGCTTAGTTATTGTACGTGTGTGTGAGGACATTTCTTTGATTTGGTAAAATAAATGGAAGAAGATTTATAACATCATTATTCACCTAATAAGCAGTATTAAACGGTAAGAGTTTTGCCAATCCTTTTATATCAAACATAACAAATTTCTAGAAACTTCCACGGTATAATTGTGATAACTGATCGTTAATGAGTCATTAGACACGAAAGATGCCTTTTTTCACACAAATTAATAGGAGTATCATTGGGATAATTATTCAACATGATCCAGTTCATAATATAATATTATTCTTTTTCGTTCTGATGTATTTTTATCTTCTTTTGAATATGAATAACGGTACGCCGCCGGAATAACAGAAAGGATAGAGTAGCTTTCATTCTTCTTTTCTGTAGATCATTTAATTTTTCTACAAGCACGTTTCGTTCCACTTATCGAATTGCATTTTTCTCACTTCTGTTCTGTATTAGAATAAAAATTTTAAGCACTTGTATAATACTATATATAGTGCTGTTTCGTGATTTATGAATTTCATAAATAGAAACAATTGATTTTTTTTGTTAATCAATTTAATCGAATTGACTGAAAATGGCTGGTACTTATGACAGCGAGCAGCAAAGAATTATCGACAAAATCAAATGCATTGTTTTTCGTGAAGCTCGAGATGCCGGTGCAACATTTATTAATCAATAGTGGATTGTAGAAAAAACTCATCGTACTACGCGATGTGTCACAGAGTTGTGGAAACAGTCACATGATAATTGTTTTGGTTATTATTCCGAATGTGGGCGTAAGCTGTAATTATCAGATGCAAGTATAAACCTCATTCTCAGTGGAATTGCCAAACAAAGAAAAAGTTCTCATGTTATAGTGAAAGAAATTGCAGAAAAACACAAGGAATATGTTGTTCCAAAAGCAATTGACAATTATCGTCATAGAGAATTATTAAAGCCGTTTCATGTTATTCCAAGGCCTTTAATAACAGAAACTCATATTTCACACAGGTTGTAGTTTTGTGATTGGCTAAAAGATTGGACTCAAGAGGACTTTCTGCATCTTGCACCATCGAATGAATTTTGTGTTTGGGCTGTTTGCAGACGAAATTACCAAAACGATCAAGTTTGAACAGAAAGTATTGAAGATATTGAAGATGATGAAAGATATCGCGAAATGGTTAAAAACCAAGCGTGCATTGGCATTTTTATCATTTTCACTGCTAAAAAATGGCATTGGCTAATTAAAGATAAAGGGGAATTTTGGACCGGTCACTAATATTCGTGATATCATTTTAATGCAATACGTATTTCCGTTTCTCAAAGACGAAGGAAATGTAATCGATCTGGATCGTGTGATATTTGTTCATAACAAAGCGCCATGTATGCAAGCAAATATGACCCAGCATGTGCTTCAAAACAACGGCAACAACAATTTTTGGGGAAATGACACCTGGCTTGGTAAGTCACCTGATCTGAATGTAGCTGAACATATTGGAACAATAATTAAAAATAAAGGTGAGCAAAAAATGTTATCAGAAATGGAATATAACCGTTATGAGCAAGAAATATTAAAAAAATACCTGTCATATGTTTTGACAAAGATGGAATCAAACACTGATTTATTTGAAACTCTCTTATGTTCCTATCCGTCACGTCTTCGTGCAGTAAAAGATGCTAAAGGACCTCATACTGATTATTGATTTTATTCCTCACACCTTCACAAATAAATCTACTTGATGTGATCCATCATTTTGAATCAGATTTAGTTTGAACTATCTCATGAAAACATTTTTCATACTAAAATAACAAAAACTTCTAGAAATGGTTATGTTTGAGATAAACAGATTGGCAAAATCCTTACCATTTAATACTGCTAAATCCAATTTTTGACGCGCTTTCATTTGGTAAAAAATTTGCTATTGATGCTGTTTGAAATCACAGCGTTATCCCCGTAAAAAAACATTTTGATGCACCCTATACAATATATACCCTCTTACCACAAGTATACGTGTTCATGTCGTCAAGAAGCTATTCACGATTTGGTTCATCATGTTCGAATCTATGGCATGGAGCCGATGAGCAACTGTCGGCTTCATTTTCTACATGCGACTGAGCTCACTCTCTGATGTAGCAATAATTCCGAGGTAGTTGCAGTCCTCGATCGTTTGATGATTTTGACAAAATTAACTAAAATAACTATAATTTGGCGTGAAGTTTACTGTCATGATCTAGTTGAATTATTACGTTTGGCACTCAATATTCAAACATTAGAACTTCCTTGTATATGTTTGCACAGATCAGATACAACATTATTACCAACAACCGAATCTTTTCAATTGGCAGTCAATCGCAACAAGATTACAAGTTTGATGGTTTCTCAGTTGCTCATTAAACGAATCTAAACTATTTGTCCTTGTGTGTCCTCGACTGCAATATATGGATTTAAATATTTCAAAAGACGACCTTGAATCCACTGTAGAATTACTATGGGAGAGCAGAATTTTGGCCCATGGAATTTTTGGCCGGGACTTTGGGCCCGTAACCTCATTGACCCCTAAAATAAAAAAAACTTAATTTTTGTAAATTAGTTGCTGGACATCGCAGTGTCGAGCAGGACGACATATCGCTGAGCACCTTGGTGTCCTGCTTGGCACTAAATATTCAGCAACTAATTCTAAAAAATTAAGGTTTTTATTTTAGGGGTCAATGAGTTCACGGACCGAAATTTCTAGAAGGGTTTCGGCCCGGACCGAAAAATCACCGGAGTTTCGGACCGGGCCCAAAGTCCGAATCGAAAATTCAGTGACCGAAATTCATATAACCCATTCCTATTAATGAAAACAAACGAAAATACTTGTCATTTATCTTTGTTGAGCCTTCTAAATGCAACTGCAATATTGTGTAAACGATCGAAGACTATAATCCATCCCAAGAAGTTTCTGGATGATTATTCAATCAAATTAATTTATAAGAATTATAGTTATGGTGGTAACATTGATTTCTAATATAATGCAATGTAATAATTTCTATAGATTGTTATAAATAAAATATAAGAAAATCATTCTTGTTTTTATTTATAGTGGGACAGGTATTTATTAATATCCAAAAATGCTTGAACATATTTGGATCACACGAAGTCCTTCGTCACCAAACCTATAACATTAAAAATAGGGTGGATGTGGAGCGCGAGTTTGGCGTGCAAGTGTGGGGTGTAGGTGTGAGGACATGCCTTTTCTTCATCCGAACCCATACCCCATATCCACACCCGAGGAGGGCTGCTATGAAAACACATGCAATACTATTTGTTTTCCCGCCATATGGTTGCTAGGGCCTAGGGGAGGGGAGCGCTGGAAAACTTTGACAAAAACTTACAGTCACTATGTTCTTCGAAAATATACGTGAGTTCCACAAAAGAAAAACAGCATTAAAAACACAGTCTGCTGATTCTCATTGATGAAGTGAAATGTTAAGATTATGATTGCTCTACACCACTGAAAATTCAATCTATCACTATTTTTCGAAGTAATAGTATAGATTCTATTTTGTTTCGGATTCATTTACTTTGAACCGAAACGAGTACCATCTGTTGATCCTCGTTGCTGACATGAAATGTTAACATATGGTTGCTCTACACACCCGAGTAAGCGGAAGTTATTTATGTTTCTCGCTTTTAATACTAATTTCGTATGGTACTTCACAAGGATATATTAAATTGGTGAAAAGGCAGAATATAAGAAAAGATTCGGACAGAAATCAGTTCACGGTATTGATATGAAGTTGAAGTTTTCTGTTTTCTGTTTTCTTCAAAAAACG